ATTGAGATCTAATTTATATTATCTTAATATAATATTTTTTATTTTATTTCTTTTATAATTAGCCTCTATTTTTATTATTCCTATATATTATACTAATAATTATATCTTATAGCTAACCTATATTTAAATTACTAAATATATTAGAAATTAATATAAAATACTAAAATTAATATTTATATATTTTTAATATTTTAGCCTTAGGCTTAAAATATTATAATAGCTCTTTTTTTCCTAAACTTATTAAGCTAATAATCTGCTTTATAGCAATCTCTTAGAACTTTATAAAAGTATTACTTTAATTATAAAGTTTCGATTTTCTTTATATTATTTACTATAAAATATATAAGAAAAAAACTATAATAAGACAAAAACTCATATAAAATATACTAAAATATAAAACGTAATTTAATAGCAAAATAATAAAATTAAAGATATAAATAATAAAGTATAAAAAATATATTTATTATATAAAAACTTAATTAATTAAATATAAAAAAGAAATTATTATCTAGAATTATAAAAAGCTAGTTTTTTTATATAATTCCTATAAGTTATATATAAAAGGCCCTAGCCTTTATTATATAATTAAAATATTAAAACTATTAAAAACAAAGCGATTTTAATAGAATACGGCTTATTATACTATATTAGTTAAAAAAAAGAAATAAACTAAACCTAAAACTTTTAATAAATAATAAAAATCCGAATACTAGTTTAAATATAAAACTAATAAAATAGAAAATAATAAAACAAAATAAAATAATTATTTTAGAGAAGAAAATATTATATAAGAAAATTTCAAGAAATATATTTAATAATAAGAAATAAAAAACTTGAAATATTATATTTAATAATATTAAAAAAAGTAAATATATTTATAAGAAATTATTTAAATAAAAATTAATATTTATTTAATAAAATAATTATCTTTTAAAGAAATATATAATTAAAATTTAAAATCTATTTATAAATAAGTATATTATAAAATAATTAATAGGTTTTATAAAACTTCTTATATATTATATATTTAGTAAATTACTAATACTTTCTTTATAAAAATAAGAAATAATAAAATAATAAAATATTTAAAGCAAGTTATTTTAATTTATAAAATTATTAAAAGTAAAAAGAATACTTTTATTATTTAAATAAATAAGAAAATTTAGAATTTCTTTTAAAAGAAATATAAAATTAAGAAATTTAAATTTGAATACTATATTTCTACTTAATTTTATTTAATTTCGAAATTCTTATTTTTAAATCTAATATTATTAATTTAAGTTTAATTAATTATAATTATAATAGAAATTGCTTAAAATAAATTAAATAGTTTAATATTTAAAAGCTTTTAATAAAAATAATAAAAATATTATAGTTTTAATTTTAAAAAGATCTAATTAATAATTATTTTATTTTAGTCTTTTAATTTTTAATAATAAATCTTTTATTATAGCTTGGGTTTTATAAGTTATTAAATAAATATCTTTTTTATTTAATTATTTATTTTTAATTAGCCTAATTCTATTTTTTGAAATTGTTTTTTATAATTAATATAAAGGTAATATTATAAAACTAGTATAGTATAGCAAGCCGTATTTTATTAAAATTGCTTTGTTTTAATAGTTTTAAGGTTTTAGTTATATAATAAAGGCTAGGATCTTTTATATATAACTTGCGGGAATTATATAAGAAAGCTAGTTTTTCTATAATTCTAAATAATAATTTATTCTTTATATTTAATTAATTGAACTTTTATATACTATATACTATTTATACTTTTATTTCTATTATTTTATTATTAAGTTACGTTTTATACTCTACTATACTTTATATAAGTATTTATTTTATTATAGTTTCTTTTTTATACTAGCTATTATTAAAGCTTTAAATAGCGAATTTTATTTTAATAAAAGAATTAAAACTTTAGTTATATTTTTCTTGTAAATTATAAAAAGGTAATTATTTTTAATAAGAAGTTCTTTTTAAATACTAATTATTCTTTTATTTATAATAAGTTTAATATAAATAATATAATTATAATAGGCTAATATCTAAAGAAAGTAATAAAAGCAAAAGTTTCTAATATATTATATATAATTAAGTAAATAAATGTTTTTAATTAAATTATTTATAGATTTGAAATAATAAATAAATAATACTTCTTTAATAATATAAATAAAGATAAAGAGTCTAATATATTACTTTATAAGCCTTTTATTATAATTCTAATAAATCTAGTTATTATTAGAAATAAAATATATAAAAATAAAGTCTTTTATAAAATTATTAAAGCTTTTTATTAAGAGCTTATTTCTTTTATTAAAAGTTAATTCAAAAATATTAATAGTAATATAAAATTCAAAGAAGCTATTTATTTGAAATATATTAATATATTTTATAATATAATATATTATAAAAAGTTTCTTTAATATTTATTTATAAGACAGAAAATAAGTAATAATTAAAGGCAAATACTAATTAATATAATAAATTATATTAGATTTAGTATAAGAATATAATTAATTAGATCCGAATTAATTTTAAGCAAGTTTAAAAGTATAAAATAAAATAATTTAAAGATAATAGATTATATTTAAGTATATTAAAAAGAATTTTAAATAGCTAATAAAGAAGAATTCTAATTCTTTTATTATTTCGAACTTTAAATAAAAGTTTTCTATTAGTTTTTAATACTTAAGAAATAAGTATAAATAAATAGGGAATTAAATATATTATAATAAGTTATATTTTATAAAAATTGTATTATTTTGGCAGTTTTAAGGTTATAATTATATAATAAAGGTGTGATGTGTATAGGGTCGCACGTGATTAAATGGCATGTGACGAACCTCGGATATTGCGGGTGTCGATCAGGGAGATCGACAGCCCTTTACTGTTACAACCAATTACTGTTTACATCATAAGCATTAGGCTTACAAATCACTAATTATATGTACGTCATCGGGGCCTCCTATTTAGAGGAGGCTTCCCTGGACCTCACAGGAGGGACAGAGATTAGTTCTGTACTGAATTTGACACTGTGGTTTCACCACTCACTGATTCATTCTATTGTCTTATTGCCTACCAACAAATACCTCACAAAAGGCTAGGGCCTTTTATATATAACTTGCAGAAATTATATAAGAAAGCTAGCTTTTCTATAATTCTAGATAATGAATTATTCTTTATATTAATTAATTAAGCTTTTGCAATTATATACTATTTATACTTTATTACTTATACCCTTATTCTTGTTATTTTGCTATCAAGTCACGTTTTGCGCTCTGGTATACTTTATGTGGGTTTTTGTCTTATTGCAGTTTCCCTCCCATAATATATGCAGGCAAGCAGTTATTCTTCTTGGCCTGTAAAATATCCCTTATGGAAGGTAGAAGCGCAGACTTCCTGAGTTACTTAACTGCTGCTTAAAAGCCTAACCCAGACTAGTATTAATATTGCTTATAATTAGATTGCCAGTAACCAAACCTATAGGATAGCAAGAACTCTCCCGAGGGCTGAATAAACTATAAGATAATTGCTGTCGCGACAATCTAGAGCATCGAATCTAGAGTAGCAAATCGAGGGTTCTGGCTCTAATCGGCAGTGCTGTCAAGGCTTTTAGCTATAGCGGGGCGGCCGAAGGGGCATTCTAACGAGTAAGTGGGTCTCGGTAGGGAGGGGCCGACGGCGTATGATAAAGCTATGACCGAGCGAGGGAATGTTAGGAAAGAATAAAGAGGAAGAGGGTTAAGCAGCGGGGTGGCGAATTTTTATAGACGTTGGGAGCGGCGATTAGCCCGTGCATGCACCTTGCCTGGCGCGGCAGGCGCCAAACCCTGGGAAGAAAACACTGTACCCTGAGATTACTTATTTAAATAATATTTTAAATTTAATATTTAATATTTATTAGGGCTATAATAAAGTCATAAACCGAAAACAATTTTATTTATATATTATATATAAAATATATAAAATAACTCTTTTTAAAAATTCTTTTTATATTATTAATAATATTATACGAATTTTTAATAAAATAAAGTATTTATAAAGGCTATAAATAAAAAGCATTAATTAATATTAAGTTATTTAGTAATATTTCTTCGGATTTATATAATAAATTAAAAACTAATTATAATATATAAGTAATTTCTTTAATTATTTCTTAATTATTTAATAATTTATTTTTTATTTTAAATATAATTATAATATATCTTAAGCTAAATTTAATTCCTCGAATATTAGTATCCCTTCGTCCGGTAGAAACTGTCTACGCTAGCAAGGGGGGCCTGGCTTAGGGCGAAAACGTGTGCCTTTGCTTAGAAACCTATTAGTTATCTATTGCCTTTTCGCCCTGAGCCAGGCCCCCCTTACTAGTATAGACAGTTTCTACCGAACGAAGGGATAGCTAATTCTAACGCTAATAATTTAAATATATATATTTATAATTTATTTTTTAATATAAAAAATAAATTAATAACTTATTTAAAAGAAAAGAAATAAAATAAAATTAACTTAAATTATATTAAATAATTACTTAATATTTTATTAATAAATTTTTATATATTACTATAAATTGAGCCCTTAAATTATAAGAAGTTTAATATTACTAAATTTTTTATTTTAGTTTTTATAGTATTTTTAATAGTAAATTTTTATTTAAATAACTTATAAAGCATTATAATATAAATTAATATATTCGGGCTTATATAAAAATTCTTTTTAATTGAATTTAATTGAATTTATTATATAATATAATATAATATAATAATAATAAAAAACTTGTTTTTAAATTTATTTAACTTTAAATTAACTCGGAAATATATTTAATAGGAATGAGTTATATAAAAAGTGCGAGATTAAAGTTGTTCCGATTCAGTATTTTATTAGTCTAATAAAAGTGGGATATCGCTTCGTGGCGTGATAACTGGCATAAGAACCTGCACGGCCACCTCATCAGAGCTTCAATACCCCGCGTCATTACACACCTCTTGCCCTTTAAGACTCTCTTCCCCGTCTCCCACCCGCCATCCTTCTACCTTTGGATTCTTTCGGAAAGAAACACTATTGCCAAACTCCGGACATTCTAAGCTTTATATTCAAATTCATAGACTACTATCTTATTAGTTGTAATCACGTGTTCAGCGCACGCACGCTTCACTAGGTTTAGCGTCATACAAGGGGTATTTAAACTCTCCCACATACCATAGATTCTCCCTCCTTAAACATCACAATACTAATTCTTTCCACTATTACTTGGACGAGAATACCACTTCAATTATATAGTATATTAGACTAACTGATATATCTCAGGCGTTGTCGATACATAAGGATCAGTCATGGGCAATGAGCATACAGAGTATAGTGGGGAGATCGACGTACCAGTTGAAGCTATTCGGATAGTCGATCCGAGCGTATTAGCTAGTGAGTACCTTTTACAAAATAATTCATCGATCTGGAGGTCTAACCAAGCTTTAGAACTACCTCAGGGTACTATTATTACGAGTGTCGCCGCACATGGAGCGAGTTTCTGGACTCGCACTGCTAAGCTTGACGCGTTCCTGAATGATAGACCAAAAGAGTATTTTCTTAAAGTAAACTGTCTCCAATTTTTACAATGACACCCGTGACGCTAACTTTGGCTTTCGCTCAGACATCTCATGGGGACCGTGGAAAAGGCATGATGTCGGGCGAATTCACCTCTATGTCGTTAATGTACGAAGCAAACCCAGACTTAGTCCCGAAGCCGATTGCCTGGGGAACATATACAACAATCCCAGATGTTCATTTCTTTCTTTGCAACTTCCACAACATGACCGACGACCTTCCAGATCTTCACTCCTTCCCCGCCATGTTAGCCAAATTGCACCGCAATGGGTCATCGCCAAACGGTAGTTTTGGCTTTCCGGTGAAAACGTACCACGGGCAGACGCCAATTGACCATGGATGGTCCGATACATGGGAAGAATACTTCAAGCGCACAACGACTGTTCTCCTCAGGTTAGAGCAGGAATCCCAAGGGTTAAATAAGGAGCTTCTTGATATGGCGGACCCTTTTCTGAATAAAGTAATTCCGAGACTCCTGCGACCGCTTGAGACTGGGGGCCGGAGCATCAAACCCTGTCTGATCCATGGTGATCTGTGGTATGGCAACGCAACCATGGATGGCGATTCGGAGCTTCCAATCATCTTCGATGCCGCGTGCTTCTACGCACACAATGAATGTAGGTGGTTTTCATAGCCATAATCAAACACGTTCCTAACTCGAGAACAGACGATCTCGGGGTATGGAGGGCCACCTGGAACAAGATTGGCAAGCCGTATATTACTCGGTATCACAAGCACTTCCCAATTTCTCCTCCAGAAGAAGACCATGATGACCGCAATGCTCTATATGCTACGTAAGATCTTGTCTTTCCTCTTTGCCTCGATGCTGCTGACTTCTGGTGGTCAGCCGTGTTGGTATCCTAGACTCTATCCTGTACAAAGGGAACAGTGGCTATAGAGAAAAGTAAGTTTGCATTTTCTTTTTATTCCAGCGAAAACAAAATCATGCTCAACGGCAGATTAGGCTCATTATTGAAATGAAGAAGCTGGTGGAGAAGTTCCCTGGAGGATATGAAGGAGCAAGCTGAACGAGAAGCTCAGAAATCAATGACTTGATCAATGTAATTTTCAAGATTGCGATAGGACTCATACCTCTATTGCTCTCCTGGAACAATGACGTTCAGTGGCATGAGTACAAACAAAGATAGCATTACTTTTCTGTCTACACAATACCTAGTATTTAAGCAAGCCTCAAAGAAAAGGAGTCAAAATAGGACATCACAATACCCCTTTGGTACTAATAACCTCTCCCTCTTTGCCCGCAATCCTTTCGGTTGCCCGCCTGGCCGCAACAGCCAGGGCCTTAAATGCCGCCTCGGCGCGATGATGATCATTATCCCCCTTCAACACATCGACATGAAGCGTTACGCCTGCAGTCTGACTGAAGCTCTGCAGGCAGTGTGGGATCATCTGGGTTGTTAAATCTCCGATTTTGGCGTTATTGAAGCCGAAGTCGCCAACAAAGAAAGGGCGGGAGGAGATGTCGATAACAGCGCGGGCAACAGACTCATCGAGGGGTGCGTGGGCATCGCCGAAGCGTCGGAGGCCTTTGCGATCACCTAGGCATCTCTGAAAAGCTTCCCCGAGGCCAAGGAAAGTGTCTTCGGCTGTGTGGTGGTCGTCGACTAGTTGGAACGAAAGTGTAAGCCATAGGTAGTTCAGTGATCTGGGAAGGGGATAAATGTCGTACTGGCCAGGTCACCATGAGTCCTGATACGCAGACTCCATCCCGCATGCTTTGCAAGTGCATGCAGCATATGATCTAAGAAACCAATGCCCGTCCAGATCCAGATCTGTTGGGAGTTGGAATTCTGGCTGGCATGGTGTTCGGTCGTCTGCTTTGGGAAATGGCTTGGGACTTGAAAGGTCTCGGGGAGATGATCAAGGGGACCGCCGTCGAGAGAGAGAGAAATCTGGACCTTGGTCTCTTTAGTGATACGCTCGACGAAGAAGGTACGAGGCTTGTAACCGGAACCCATGGCTCTCCAAGAATTGATGAAGACCACCGAATTGCTAAGATGAAATAATGAGAAATGCCAGGGACGAGTTGAGCGAGCTTTGATGATTTTGCATTCATCCCCGGTGCGGAGAAGAAGCTGCATTAAAAGTCCGCCAGCAGTACCCACTTCTTGGGCTGCAAGGGGTGGTGGCATTTTTGTACTACGGATAGGTACATCGTCCCGATTACGCGCGCTGGGGGTATCAGAAAAGACTGGTTGTTGATTGCTTAGCATGACACTCTGGCTTTATTGGAGCGCCTCGCTGCAGGATTGCAAGCCCAGAAGTGACGGGTGATCGATCGATAGGCCCCGGGCACGATTCGGAAGACCCCTTCCCCGGGGCTGTGCCGACGCCGGAGACTGCTTTGGGTATCGGGCCGCTAAAATATTGGCTGAGGACGCCAACTTGCCTGTCAATCTTCGCATGTCAGCTCGTGCGTGCCAACTCGGGAAAAAGAAAAACGACACCCCCACAGGTGTTGATTGGGGTGTCGATTGGGGGGCCGGACTAGCCCACTAACCCAAAGTAGAGGCGCTCGGACAAGAAGACGACAACTCTGGCTTTTTCTTTGATTTAATTCAATTTATAAGGAATTATTAGAATTCAATACTTGTTTCATTTCCTTATAGCACTAATTAAGGGCTATTTAAATATAAATTTTTCATAAAATTTGGATTAGTAATAGCTCTTTAAATTAAAGAAGTTAAAAATTTCACATTTTATAACCTAAAGATAAGCTTAAGAAAGCCTAGAAATTTAGTAAATAAGTCCCTAAAACCAGATATAAGAGCTCTATAGGCTTATAATTTATAGGGCCCTATAAGGCTCAAAAACTAGAACTTAATTAATTAGTATATAAATTCCCTTAAATTAAAATATTATTTTAAAGAATCTCTTTATTATAAGTTAGAAAGCACGTGATTATAATATAAGGGCCATAATATGCTAGCTTAAACTTAAGGTTTTTAAAGAGCTTAGGTAGCTAATTAAACACCCCTGCCCCAATCGACACCCATAATCGACACAGGGGGGTCGTTTTAGTCTTTCCCGATGGTGTGACAATATTACCAAAAAGTACACGCCAACAGCCCTGCAACTGCGTTTTTCTGCAGCCCTGATCACCACCCCCCAGCTCAACGCCTGCTGTCTGTCCGCATGCCTTCACAAACAGAAGTGTGGGGGATGGTTCTCGGCTGCCAAAGCAGCGCATGCTCATTGTAACACGTTCACACCAAGTTTGCGTTCCTACATGCATTTCGCTCTCTACAGTTCGTGCTTCGGAGTAACCCACTTGGCATTGCGTTGTTAATTGCTATGCGTCATCCCGTGCGACGTGGCCTAGCAGAAAGCTACCAAACGCAAGGTTCGAGTTAACGCTAAGGCTGCGATGGATAGTGACGAGGTTCGTTTCCGCACCTGTGTCATCCCATGAGCTATTCACGCCTGACCATCTGCTTACCGGACACAACCATCAGTTCGATCCAGAGCCGCTCTCACAGCCATCTGGGGCAGTTCCTCCTCGAAGAAAATCGACCACGCTGTCGCGAGTGTTCAGTGGACTATCCATCACCAGACGCTCAAGCGAAAGCTCTGAGGATAAACGAGGGAAGTTCGGGCTGACCCTCATCTGCGATCGTGCCGACCCTATCGTCGACATCGTCTTCGTCCATGGTCTCGGTGGAGGTTCACGAAAGACATGGTGCAAAGGAGATGACCCTGGACTATACTGGCCCAAAGAGTGGCTGCAACGAGATCCAGAGTTCAAGAATGTAAGGACATATGGCTTTGGCTATGATTCGGATTGGGACACGAGGAGGGGCTCACAACTCGACGTCCATGATTTCGGCAAGGCGTTGCTCTCCGCACTGCTAAGAGACCCTTACATAAGGAGAAGTCAGAATGTGAGCATTTTGGCTACCCATCAGCCTGGTAATTTGCTGACCAGTCCGCTTCGTAGCTTCCTATTATTCTCGTCGCACATAGCATGGGTGGTCTTGTTATTAAAAAGGTATGGGTGAAATCTCTCTGGTTTCAAGTGAGTCTATGGCGTTAAAATCCTCCAGGCATATCTCCTGTCCCGCAACGATCCTACGTTCCTAGAATTGGGGAAACGGTTCTATAGCATGTACTTCCTAGCGACTCCTCATCACGGTGCTGCATCTGCTGAGCTTCTCTCATTTGTTCTTCGTGCATCCTTTTCTGGAAGCCTTCCATTCTTGGCAGACTTGCATCAAGACTCTCCCTCCATTCAGCAGATCAACGATGAGTTCCGTCACTGCGCCCTTCAACTGAGTGGAGGCATATATTCCTTCTACGAGACACAACCTACGTCCCTGTTTGGCATCGGCGAGAGAATTATTGTGAAGAAGTCGTCGGCCATGACCGGTCTTCCTAACGAACAGTCAGCGCCATTAAATGCCAACCACCGGGGAGTGTGCAAATTCAGTTCTCCTTCCGATGATAACTTTTTGGCCATCAGGAATTCTTTTTTGATAAATGTAGATAAAATAAAGGAAGCTTGTCAGTATTTTCCTCTCGGCCACTTTGCTGGAGCTAATGCTATTTAGGGGATTTGAAACATCGCGAACAGCTTCGGAACCAGAAGCGCCAATTGAAACGGTTTCTCTGCATATCCGAGCAACTGGAGGATGGACTTATTGATACGGACGAGCCTCGAGCAGATGGTTCCTGTGAGTGGCTCGTCACAAATCCCAAGTTCCGACAGTGGCGAGACTCATCATCAACTAATCCGCTCTTTTGGCTAAGTGGCAGGCCGGCTACGGGAAAGACTTTCTTGACAAACCACGTCAGAGAACATCTCAACGAATTGGGAGCTGATTGCAGCACCTATTTCTTTCGAGAAGGGGACAAGACCTTGTCAGCATTGAGTAGCTGTCTTTTATCTCTTGCGTACCAGATGGCTTGCTCCAACGTGGCAATTCGGCAAGCATTCCTCGAGATGCAGGAGGACGACGTTCGGATCGACAGAGACAACTACCAGTCGATATGGCGTAAGCTGTTCCAGGGGGGAATCTTTCGGACAACGCTCTACAAATCTCACTACTGGGTAATCGATGCTCTGGATGAATGCAAATCCCCAGTCAACTTCTTCCAGCTTATCCTCAAAACTGAGCACACCTTCCCATTGCGTATATTTGTGTCATCAAGGCCGAGCAATGAATTACACAGTCAACTACATGGGATGGAACCTCCAGCTCAGATTCATTTGATATTGCCAACGGATACTCTCCAGGACATCAGGTGGTATGTCCAAAATCATACCGACTTTCCCTCGATGCAGAACCATAAGACCCACCAACAACTTGTAGATACCCTCGTTGAGAAATCAGAAGGTGTATTCCTGTGGGTGAAGCTTGTGCTGAAAGAATTGAGACAAGTCTACAGTGAAACTACTCTGAAACGAATCCTAGAGGATATTCCTAAGGGAATGGACAAACTATACTCAAGGTCTTTGGAACCGTTGACAAAAGATTCGTACGGTACACCTCTTGCCAAGGCAATTCTAACATGGACGGCCTGCGCGGTGCGGCCTTTATCAACCACGGAACTGAAATTTGCCCTGCAGCTCCATATACAGGACAACGTGTACAATTTGGAGAATCAAATCGCTACCCTGTGTGGACACTTAGTATATGTCGATCCGCAATACCGTGTCCTTATGGTCCACCAAACAGCGCGTAGCTTCCTTTTAACTTCGCGAACGAATTCTGAATTTGCGTTCCTGGAGCAAGAAGGCCACCGTCACCTTGCCCTCACTTGCTTGAAACAACTGGTTCACGATGATCTGAAGGCTCCACAATCTCGAAGGCCAAGTGCCAATCTTAGTACCACTTCTCGATCGCCCTTTCTTGATTATGCCGCCAAATCTTGGTACGAACATGTCAACAAAGCATCCTCCGCTGACACTGAGCTGTTGAATTTGATTTACAAATTCCTCAGCTGTCGTCATGGGAATGTTTTGACCTGGATCGAACATATTGCATCGGCTGGAGACCTACATCATCTGATACAGACCGGAATGGTTCTCAGGACCTACCTGAAACGAAGAGCGATTTACTTTCCGATAATAAAGAAGGAAGTAGAGACTATCGACTCTTGGAGCACGGACTTCATCCGCATAGCTTCGAAGTTTGGACGCAATTTACTGCGGTCGCCCCCCTCAATCTATCACATCATACCTCCTCTCTGTCCTCGTGAAGCAGCTCCCTACCAGCAATTCGGTCGGTCAACTAGGGGTATTTCCGTTCTGGGGTTGTCTACAACATCTTGGGATGATTGCCTTGCTACCATAGCCTACCACAAAAGCACGGCTACAGCTGTCGCTTGTGGCACAGCCCACTTTGCCATAGGAGCTTCAGACAAAATGGTCCGTCTATATACCACCTCCACTTGCCAGGAGTACGGCAAGATGGCACATGGTGAAGCGATCAGGATGCTAGAGTTTAATAATTCTGGACAGATGCTCGCCTCTGCGGGCAGACAGTTGATTCGTGTCTGGGATGTCGCTGACAAGAAACTGATCGCGGAATTCAAATCCCCCAGACCGGGTATAGCAATGACTTTCACACCGGATAACAAGTCTTTAATGGCTGCTTGCCACGACAATCAAATGCATACCTTCGATATTGCCCGCAGTGAAAACTCCGAGTCTGAACCCTGGTACATTGACGTCGATTCGGAGCCCATCTACAGAGTTCCAGACACAGCAGCATTCTCGCTAGAGCATAAATTACTCGCAGTCGTCTACCGAGGCAGTCACATCCATATTTGGAGTTGGGAAGATGGCTACCTCGGGTGTTGCAAGAAACCTCAAGCCGATCAAGAACTCCTTCCATTCCATGCAAGCTCGCTTTGCTTCAACCCCGCGCCGGAAGCAAACTCACTGGCAGCAGCATACGAGGGTGGTACCATTCTTATCTTCGATCCTGTTCAAGAGGATGGTAATATCAAGGCATCACACAAGGCGGATACGGATACACAGACTCTGGCTTGCTCTCCTTGTGGTAGGACACTCATAAGCGGCAATTCTCGTGGTACAATCCGAATCTTCGACTTCGAGGCTTTCGACCACCTGAGGCTGAAATTACTATATGTCATTCATGACCGTGACAATAACATCCGTAGCTTGGCCTTTTGTGCAGACAGCCTACGTTTTGTAGACATGGGAGGCCAGCAGACGAACATTTGGGAGCCAACGGTCCTTGTCAGACACGACGTCAGTGAAGAGATGAGTGAAACTGCATCCATCGAGGTACAAGAAATGTGTATCCCGCAAGCTGCGGAGATCGACGTCATCACAACCATGTGCGTTGAGTCTTCAGCGAGGCACATTTTCTGCGGCACCGAGGGCGGATCCGTAAAGGTTTTCAGTTTGACCACAGGAAAACAATTAAGAACCCTTTATATCCACTCTAATGGTGTTGGCATTACACAGCTCTCCTTCAGCGGCAATAAAGCCATTCTTGCGAGTGCTGACTCCGCCAGTCGAGTGCTCATCTGGCAGCTGGCCCCTACCTCAGACAGCTGGAAAGCTAACTCTCTCCTACTAGAGCAACGCATGGAAGACCCGGTCGAGAATATCCTCTTCAACCCTTATGAAACCCACCTACTCATTGTCACAACCCTCATTGACAAGCTCTTCGCCCTCTCAGACCCTGCCAGCGAGCCTATCTCCCTCACTTGGACAACCCGCAACGCCGGTATCTGGGCTCAGCACCCAACGAATCGGTCCCAGCTACTCTTGATCGTCCGCTCCACCCTTCGTATCTACACTTGGAACTCGCTAGGACTGCTCACCGCGTCAACTGGCATTCCCCTCCACGTCGAGGACTACCTGCCTTCCGACTTCGAAATCCGTGCCTTCCATGTCGGCTGGGCTGGCCGCATTCTTGCGACCGAGTACTCAGCCCTCAGCCAAAGCCGCTCACATATTCGTCTTCTATTATGGAGTGCCGGGTTATTGGTGCCGGAAACGGAGCGCCTGGGGTCAGTGATGGGTAAGACTGGGGAGGGGTTAGCCGGGTTGGTGGGAACATTGGGAATGATAATTTGCATGACTGATAGCCTTATCCTGTTCCTCGATGATGATGGGTGGGTGTGTTCCCTTGATGTAGGGGAGGTGGGGAGCAGATTGACTTCTTATAAAAGGCACTTTTTCTTACCTTACGATTGGCTGAGTACAAATGATGAGCTGTTATGTAAGTGCTCTGAGAAGGGGGACATTATCTTTGCCAAGGATGATGAGTTAGCAGTTATTAGGAAGGGATTAGAGTGTGGAGAGATAATTGAGTTTAATAATTAATAATAATAAATAATAATAATAAAAGTTAAAAAATAATTAGTTCTTTTATATTTAATTTCTTTTAAAATAAAATAAAATAAAATAAAATAATAAGTTCTTTTAAAAAACTAATTTAATTAGGCTATTTTATATAATATATATAGGGTTATATGTAACTTAAGGGCATATAATAAACCTCGGATATTACAGATATTAATTAGAGAGATTAATGGCCCTTTAATATTATAACTAACTACTATTTATATTATAAGTATTAGGCTTATAAATTACTAATTATATATATATTATTAGGGCCTCTTATTTAAAGAAGGCTTCTCTGAACCTTATAGGAGGAATAAAGATTAGTTCTATACTAAATTTAATACTATGATTTAATAACTTACTAATTTATGCTATTATCTTATTACCTCCTAATAAATATCTTATAAGCTAATCTCTTTACCTTTAAAGAAGGTAGTTTAATAAGTAATTATATCTCGAAATCTGCGAAATATATAACCCCTTACTAAAGCTATTTCTATAGAGGAAATTAACTAAATTAATCCCGATACAGGTAATAGTAAAGGCTTATATAATACTTTTAATAGGGCCCTTTAGGAGCTTCCGAGAGCTAGTAATAATAACGGAAATAATTCCGGTAATAATTAAGATATCGAGATTAATACTCGAATTACTATTACCTAAGTTATAAAATAGAGCTTATATATTAAAGTTAAAGCACTCTAATAAAAACAAGAATTAGTAAATATAATTAACTAATATATCCTATAATTAAAGTAATATAAGAGTATTTTTAGGGATATTTTGCGGTTTACTATATCTTATAGAAACTCTATTTATAAGTCTATTTTATCTTTATTCTATTTTCTTTAGTAATTCCTATTAAAGAACTTCCTAAAATAGAATTAAAACTTACTTCCTTTCCTAATATAATAAGCTTTAAAAGTAATCTCGATATTATTTATTAGAAGTTACTATATAATATCCTAAAGATATATTTGAATTAAAAGATGCTTTTAAAATTCGAATATCTGACTTATATTATAGAAAGTTCCTTAAGAAATAGAAAATATTCGTATTTTTCTAGAAAGTAATCTTTAGAACCTAATCTTGAACTTATAATAAATACTCTTCTAAAGTTAATTCTATTATAAGTGCTTTTAGAAATGAATTTCATAATATTTAAAAGGCTATAATAAAGTAAAGCCTATTATTATATAAGGTTTATTAGAAGTAATTTAAGGCTTACTTAGCTAATATACTTTAAATACCTTAAACCTATTAATAAAATGCCTTTAAGAAACTCCGAGATCTTTATTAGAAAAATAGTAAAATAGTTACTAAATTATATACTCGAATAATTAGTCTTAAAATTAATTAGAACTTATATTTTAAGAGAGACCGGATCCGGATTCTTAATACTATTTTATCTAATTATAAGATTTATTAGATACTTATATTTATTTTTTTAGGAAATAAGATAGTATTTATTTCTAAATAGCTTAAGAAAGCTTAGAAAGTAGAATATACTACTTATTCTAAATTAAGGAAAGTAAAGACAGGGAAGTTTAATAAGAGTAACTCTATTTCTAAAGATTCTAACTTAGTAAATTCTAATTTGCAAGGCTATTAAAAAAGAAAGAAGAAGTTCCGAAAATTATATAAGAAATCTTTAGATAGTACTTTAACTTCTTTAAGGCCTTAATAAAGTACTAGTTCTATTTTAGATATGATTTATTAAACTTATAAATAGAAAAAATACTTTTCAGGAAATATAAAGTATTTTAAATATATTAAATAGACTTAATAAAACTCTAATAAAGCTAAAATTATAGAAGAATTAAGGTATTTATAAAAGTAAGTTAATACTATTATTATAGAGAAATACTTTAGAAAAGATTCTCCTAAAAAATAGAGAAAAGAAAAGGCTAAATCTTAAATATTAATAATTTTAGCTATAATAAAAAAGATATATTATTTTATATAACTATTTAAGTAAGATTAATATAGCTAGAAGTAGGTTTCTTAAAAGTATATAATAGATTTAGTAATATTAGATTAGATTATAACTTCCTTAATAATAATTAGGCTTAAACCTAAAGCTTTATTACTTTAGCTAAATATAACTAAGAATTTATAACCTTTTATAAAAACAAATTTAAAGTCTATAAGCCTATAATCTTAAGGTATTTATTATAGATAATTATAGCAAGATATATTCTTTTATGTTCTAGTTTTATAAATATAAGAATATTAGCTTTTATAGTCTTATTTTTAGTATGAAATTTTATAAAATAATTCTTATATAATATATAAACTATATTAAGAAATAATAGATATATATATTTATATAGCCTAATAATATTAAGATTCTGATACTAAAAGAGTTTAGTAAAAAGCTTAACTAATACGCTAAACTAGTATTTTGAGTCTTATTCTTAATTAAAAGTAAATATAACTATCTTAAATAATAAGCTTTATATATTTATAATAATTACTAGATCTCTATTTTATTATATAATTCTAGTAATACTAAATAAAAGTTTTTAATATAGCAAATTAATATCTTCTAAAAAGAGGCTTTAAAAGTACTTATTTATTTCCGGAATAATAAATACGAAATTTTTTTAGAGATTTTTAATTCTAATAAAGCTTTGGAATTTCCTAATCTTAGTAATATTAAATATTCTATTAATATAGATAGTACGGTCCTATATAAACCCAACTAGAAGTATTATATCTATATTTATAAGATATATTTTATAAATATTAAATAAAGCCTAATAAAAACCTAATAAAAATACTTATTCTTTTTATTTCTAAAAAAGATAAAGAACTATATCTTTATATTAATTTTTATAGACTTAATTAAATTATAATTAAGAATTAGTATCTGCTTTCTCTTATTAATAAGACTCTTAACTAGCTCTAAAAAGCCAATATCTTTATAAAGTTAGATCTTAAAAATATATATTATTAAATAAGAATTTATAAAAAATATAAGTAAAAAATAGCTTTTAGGACCTATTATAACTATTTTAAATATCTTATAATACCTTTTGCGCTAGCTAATATACTAGCTATATTTTAAGTATATATTAATACTATATTTATAAGATTCCTGAATTATTTTATAATTATTTATTTAAATAATATTCTTATTTATTCCCGAAATAAAAATAAATACTATAATTATATTTACTAGATATTTACTAGGCTATATAAAAATAATCTATTTTATAAACTTAGTAAATACAAGTTTAATATTAAGGAAATCAAATTCTTAAGCTTTTTTATTAGAATAAAAGATATTTATACGAATCCTAAATAGGTTTATAGTATTATTAAATAGCCAGAACTAGAATTATTCTATAATATTCAAGTATTTCTTAGATTTACTAATTTCTATTATAGATTTATTTACTATTATTTTCAGATAACTATAGACTTAATAAATCTCTTAAAAGAAATAAAAAAGAACCAGAAATCCGGGTTTTTTATATAAATAAATAAAATAGCTAAAAGCTTTAAAACTTTAAAAAAAGTTTTTACTATAATACTTATTCTAGTTTATTTTAACTCTTCTAAGAAAATTTGTATTAAAACTAATATATTAAAATTCGTAATTACTAATACTATTTTATAATAAGTTAATTCTAGTAATAGCCAGAAAAAATACTAGTATTTAGTAATATTTTAGTTCCGGAAACTCTCTGGAATTAAATATAATTATAGTACTTATAATAGAAAGCTACTTATAATTATTAAAGCCTTTAAGTATTAATACTATTATCTTAAAAAGTTCAGATTTATAATTAAGGTTATTATAGATTATAATAATCTCTAATACTTTATAAAAATAAAGTATCTAAAAAGCTATTAAATATATTAGGTAATATATTTTATAATATATAATTTTAATATTATTTATTATAGAAGTACCTTAAATCTAGTAAATAGACCTAGTAAAAGGCCTAATTATAAAAAAGGTTCTATTAATATAACTTGATTTCTAATTTTTTAAAATAAGCTAAAAGAAGCTTTTATAATAATAATTTAGAAATCCTTATAAATATCTAAAAAGTTTTCTTTTTAGAATAAGTATTATTTAATATTTATTATATTTATAATAATTAAAGAGAAATATTTATTATAAGATAAATAAATAGATTATCCTATATATTTCTTAATTATAGAATTAGTTAAAAAGCAAAATATAAGAAAATAACTTAAAGGCTCTATTATTATAGCTAAGATAATAGAAGTATCTATAATTATATTATTTAATAAAACTAAAGATTTCTTAGTTTCTCGAATTTTTGAATTAGATAATTATAAATATCTAATTTCTTATATATAAATATATACGGCTATTAAAAGAGCTATAATACTAGCTCCTTTATCTAAATTTCTTTTAAATATTATTTAGATAGCTTAGAGAAATAATTCTCGATATTAAAATATCTTAAAATAGAAGCTTAGTAAAAGAGATACTAAGAGAAAAGAAATCTGGAAAAATAATTTAGGCTTATTTAGATATTATTTAACAATTATTATATCTAATAATCCCGCTTTATATTAAGAAGTTATAAAGCTTTATTATAATAACCTAATAGTTAAATACTACAAAATAAAGAAAACTCTCGAGCTCTTTAGAAGATCCTAATATTAAAAGAATATAAAAAGAAATATTTATAAGTATTATTAAGAATATAATATTTGCCAGAAAATTAAAACTAAGAAGCATTTACTATATAGTCTATTTAGTAGTTTATTATAGTCTAAGAGACCCTAGAATAAGATTTCTATAAATTTTATTATAGGTCTACTACTATATAAGAATTTAGTAAAAAGTCCCGATTTAATATAATTCTTATAATTATTAACTAGTACTTTAAAATAGCGAAATATATTATATATTATAAGATAATTAACTTTTCGGAACTTATTAAGATTATATAGAAATATATTTTCTCGATCTTTAACTTTTCTAATAGAATTATTTCCGATTAAGAAATAGTATTTACTAGCTAGTTCTAATCCGCTTTCTACTTCTATTTAATATATAAATAGTATTTAAATATAGCTTATTATTTTTAGATAAATAGTTAGATAGAAAGGCAAAATTAGATCCTAAAATATTACCTAAAATATTATTATAATACCTAAAAGAATAACTAGTTTAAAAAGTTATTTTTTATGAAATTTATATATAATAATTCAAAATATTAGGTTTTATAAAATATATCTTTTTATATATATTACGAATATTATTTTTAATTTCTATAAAATCCTGAGAATAAAATTATAAAAAAATTATTAGCTATATATAAGAGATTAGAAACTCTTAAAATAAAATAAAAAAAGCTTAAAAATTTATAATATTATATATAAAATAACCGGGAAACCTATTATAATAGATACTAGTTAGCTAAATACTATTTTAAAAAAGCTTAGATAATACTATTAATAAGAAATATTAAACTTAAAATAAAAAAGCTTAAACTAAAATTTATAAATCTATTTAAAATCCTTAAATATATTAATAATTTAATATATAAGTTAGAATTACTAAGTATATATAATTATTTATATCTAATTTTTAATATTTCTTTTCTTAAAAAATATATAATAAAAAAGAATTAGAAGCTATACCTATATTTCTCTAAAGAACTTTCGGAATTAGTAAATAATAATAAAGAATAAGAATAGAAAATAAAAGCTATTATTAATTATTAATAAGATAATAGAAGTAAGAAATAATAGTATTTAATTAAATAAAAAGTCTAGTCTAAAGATTATAATATTTAGTTATCTATTTTTCCTAATTTTAAAAATTTCAAGGAACTTCTAAAATTATATAACCGAAACTATAGCTTAAAATCCGAAATTACTTTTTAATAATTTCTTAAGATTAAAAAGAATTCTGGACTATTAAGAAAAAGGCTATTTAAAAGAAAGAGAGGATCTAAATAGCTAAGAAAAGACCCGGAATAATAATAGAAATACTTTTTTCCTAAGGCTTTTTTTATTTATAATAGTTTTTTAGAGTTTTATTAAAGCTTATAAGAATTATATTTAAATTATTAGAAAAGGATTTAGAATTAAGAGAGATTTATTATAAGTAAACTAGCTATAAATATTTCAAATAAATAAACTTTAATTCTTACTAATTTCTAATTCCTAAAATAAGAATACTAAATACCGGCCTTATTTAGAATTTAGTAAAGAATTAAGTAATACTTTCCGGAATTTGCTTATTTCTTAACGGGATATAATTATATTATAATAATATTAGTATTAAGAATATTAAGAGAAGTAAGTAAGAAACTTATAACTACTATATATATTTTATAAAAGGCCTGAATTTCTGAAATTAGGTCCTAAATAGCTATAAGTATTATATTATTAGTATTTAAAATACTAGTAATAAACTAATTAGAAATCTCGGTAATAATCTTAGTAATAAGATTAATATTTTGAAAATAAACTTTATAGTATTTTTTTAAGAAATTAATAAATACCTAAATATATTAGAAAAAACTTATCTTTGGAATACTAATTCAAATAATATTATTATTTGCCTTATTAAAACGAGAAGAAGAATTTCGAAGCTTATTAGTTTCTTTCTAGTTTTTAAAAACCCAATTAATAGTATTATTTATATTAGTATAATACTATTTAGGATATTTTTTAAGAAATTTCATAAAGATTATAATAGTATTTTTCTAGAACTAGTAAGTCTCTAATAGGTAATAAGGAATCTAAAATTATATTAGCTTTAATAAATATTAAAGCTAAAGAACTTACTAATATATAAGATTTAGAACTCTTATTATAATAATTATAATTCTTTTTACTAGGTATTATAATATATAAAATAAAGGAATTAATAAATAAATACTTGAAATATTTCAAGTATTTACTAGTAATAGGAAAAAAGGCTATAAGATTATTTTTATACTTGTAATTATATTAGTAAATAATAAAGCCAAAAAAAGATATTATAAAATTAATTAAAAATAATTAAAGAAGACTTATAAAAAAGTAGAAAAAGAGGCTAGAAAATAATAATAAAAGAAGTTATTATATATATAGTTATTAGAAAAAAAGAGAATATATAGTAATATAAAGAAATTCTTTTATAGAAATAAAGAACTATCTGAATTAATTACTAGTTTTTATATTAGTTCTAATTAGAGATTAATATAATTAATTAATATATATTTCCAGAAACCTATAAATAATTTCTAGAATCTTAGAAATATTTATATGGGTTTCTTATATAAATATTTTATTAAATTTTTTCTATATAACTATTTAGATTATTCTAATACGAGATTTAATAAATAGTATTAATTTCATAAAATAATATCTTGGTATTTTGGATTAAGCTAATTAGAATATTCAGATTCCAAACGAAATTATAATTATTAGCTAGCCCCTATATCTGAAATATAATTACTCTTTCTTCTTACTTACTTAGCCCTGATTTAATTAAACGATTTTTATATTTATTATCTAGATTATATTAATAAAACTACCTCCCAAAATACTAGAAGTTTATCTCGATTAAATAAATAATTAAATAAATATTTTATTAGAATAAATTAATAGATCTTGGAAACAAGATCCTAGAAAAGAAATATAATTATAATATATATAGAGTTATATATAACTTAAAGACATATAATAAACCTCGAATATTACAGGTATTAATTAGAGAAATTAATAGCCCTTTAATATTATAAGTATTAGGCTTATAAATTACTAATTATATATATATTATTAGGGCCTCCTATTTAGAAAAGGCTTTTCTGGACTTTATAGGAAGAATAGAGATTAGTTCTATACTAAATTTAATACTATAGTTTTATAACTTATTAATTTATTTTATTATTTTATTATTTACTAATAAATACCTTATATTTTAATAATATTAATTAGAAATTATATTAATTAGAAATTATATTAATTAGAAATTATATTAATTAGAAATTATATTAATTAGAAATTATATTAATTAGAAATTATATTAATTAGAAATTATATTAATTAGAAATTATATTAATTAGAAATTATATTAATTAGAAATTATATTATAATTATATTAAAACTATTTTTAAAGGCTTTATAATTTAATATAATTATATTAATTAAAAGCTATATTATTAAACTTTTAAAATAATTAAATAAAAAGTCCTAAATTAATTAAATAAATAAATAAACTAGTAGTTTTATTATTAAAGAAAATTTATAAAAAAGCAAGTCCCAAAATAATAAAATAAGTAAAAAAAGCTATAATATATAATATTACGAGTATATTATTAGAAAATAAATTAGATTCTTTTATTAAACTTTTTAAAGAATTCAAATATTTTATTAATATTTATAATAAAAAAAAGCTTTTTTTTTAAAAAAAAATAAAAAATAAAAAAAAAATAAAAAAATAAATTTACTTTAATCATACAGCGACGCTTGCACTAAACCAGCCACCCTGCAGGTTTAGTGCGGTATAGTAATATGGTCGAAAATCAGTAATATAGTCGTTTTTCTCTCCTATTTATCGATTTTAATTAATTAAATATTAATACTATAACTAAATATGACCCAGAAGAAGAGAAAAGAATGGCCCAGGCCTCCGATTTCTATACCAGAAACCCATATATCAAAAAATCCGCAATTATGCATTAATTCAGGATAAAATATCGACTCTGGAAAGCGTATTTGGCCGGACGAAAATCACAGAATACTAAAGGAACCTATAACAAAACACTTAATCCTAATTAGGAGAAGGGCATTAAGCAGTTTATCGATTTCCTGATCTATTTAGGCCATAAAGCTAATCTCAAAACGGTTCGGGTAGCGGCAAACAAGATTCTAGCTAAGAGTATATCCACCCACCAAGTTATATATATATGGGCTTAATAATGGTTCAAACGGAATAAAGTATGGTTTAAAACCCTTCGTATAAAGATACTAGTACAAGAGCGGAAGGCGGCAAATCGAAAGGAGGATCTGGAAAAGTATTTTAATAAGTATTATAGGGCGTTAGAGAAGTTTGGGATCTGCTTTGAGGACGTATGGAATATAGACGAAACTGGCTTTCGTATCGGCGTTTTAAACGGAAAGATCATTATTATATATCTTAATACGAAAGCTGTCTACTTGGCAGATCCCGATAATCAAGAATCACTTACTATAATCGAAACTGTATTTGCTGGGGGCAAAGCAATTATACTATTCCTGATTTTAAAGGGGGAGATCCTATTAAAGAATACTTTAATAATAACCTTGATACCGAATCAGTCTTTACTATAAGCTCCACTGGGTATATAAATAATGCTTTAAGCCTTAAATATATTAAGTACTTCTATAATTAGACGTATTAACGAATACAGGGCAAGTGGAAGATATTGATTTTTAACGGTCATGGCTCCTATACTTTAGACGAGTTCTTATATTATTACTAGTCCTATAAGATTGTCCCTTTTCAACTACTACTATATAGTATACACCTCTTCTAACTATTCGATATTGGCCTCTTTTAACCCCTCAAGCACTGGTATTAAGTCAGTATTTATAATAAGATCTAGTATAATAATATCATTTATACTAAGCTTGATTTTTTAGCGGTATACCAGTTAATACGGGGAAAGACGTTTAAGTACAGGACAATTCTCAGTGCCTTTAGTAAAGCGGGCCTTTTAGGACAAGAAATAATATGGTATATATATAAGAAGCTAGCTTAATTCGCACCAAAAGAAGGTTTATTAATTGGCTATAGATTTATATAGTAATATAGGCTAATTTTGTAATAGACGAGTAAACCGAGATTCTACCTCTATAAACCCCTCCAATATCGAAACCCTTCCAAAACCCTCCTATATCTGCGAATCGTACGGTATATAATTCCTATATATATTAATATTTAGATGACCATTTTATTCTTGGAAGGGAGAAGGCAGTACTCCAGGAATAATATAATAAGCTAGATAAGGGCAGGAAGTATATACAAAAATATAGAGTTATTTCCAAGGGTTCGGCAGTTCGTTAAATCATATATTATAGAGAGTCCCTTTTTACTACTAAAGAGATAGACAATAACGCCTACCTAAATCGACAAATTAGGGAAACTAATATATATATTACAAAGTATATTACTAGTAAGCTTCTATACCGGAGACGTACTTATAGGGAAACAGCTCCGTATGATTTAGGGGAGCCCTTTGGTTATAGAGACAAACTACTATTTATTAATTATAGTAATACTAGTCTCAAGGCTTACTACCAAAAATTAACGGCAAAATAGGAGAAATAGAGGCAAATTAATCGCAAGATAGAGCTTTTTTATATAAATAAGATAGATTTTAGGCTAGCTTCCCCTGGATACGAAGAGGAGTGGATTAGTAAGTTTGGTAATATACAGGTGGAAATACTAGTCAGAGAGCTTGGTTTTATAAGGCTACTACCTAACTCCCTTTTATTTTATAATAATGGTTTTAGTAATATAGTTAGATTAGATACTAATAGGGAGGAGACAATTATTAGATATACGAAATAGGATATGGTTATTATATAATTAATTAATTTCTAAGTTAGTAGTATTTTGGGGGGGTCGCTAATAACCTGAAATATATAATATTTCTACTATTTTACTATATATATATGCGATATAAAAGTAAGAGAATTTGATTTATTAATTATAGTATAAACGCCATATAAACTATAAAATATTTTTCTGCGATTTGTATTAAAATTCTAAAAGTTGGTATTTCAAAAAAAACGACTATATTACTAATTTTCGACTATATTAGTAATACGTACTAAACCCGCAGGAATGCAGGGGCTTTAGTATAAGTCTTGACGCACGATTATTAAAAGTAAAGTTTCAAGAATTATTTTAATATTTAAAAGCTTTATATAAAGAAATTATTAAGCTAATATTAAAGACTTATAATATTTTTATTTATAATAAAAAATTATTATAATTAGCTAAAAAGAATTAAATAAGTTTTATATAAAGAAAATAAAGCTATTATTAAAAAGCTTATTATATAATTTATAAGTCTATTAATATTCGATTTTTTTATTTTAAAAAATAAATATTTAATTAAACTTTTTAGTTTTTTAATTTTTAAAAATATAATTAAAAATATTATTATTTTAAATAATTAATTAATTTAGATTGAAAATAAGCTTTATAATAATTTTAATATTTACTAAATAAAGAACTTTAAAATTCTTTATGTTTTTAGTTATATAAATAGCTATATTTTTATATTAGTTTTCTTTTATTTAAATTAAAACTATTAGAAAAATATTTTTTTTTAAAGAAGTTATATAATAACTCGAATAAAAAATATAATATTTAATAAGTATTTAAGAAGCTATTTATAAAAAAGAGCTAGATTTTTTAGAAGTTTTATATTTTATTTCTAAAATATATAATAAATAGAAATAATAATTTAAATAATAAGTTTATTTAAAAGCTTTAAAAGACTATTATTATATATTATAATAATTTAACTATTTATATTATAAAGTTTATATAATATTATATTATAAAGAATTAAAAATTATATTTTATTATAAAAAGTTTTATTTAAAAAAACTAATAATAATATAAATAAACTAAGCTTAAAAGATATTTATTTTATAAAGCCTATTTTTAAAATTCTAGTAATAAATAAATCTATTATTTTAAAGCCCGAATTCTTTAATTTTAAATATTATAATTATAATAAATTTAATTATATATTTAGAAATTATTTAAAGCTTAAAATAAAATATATAAAGCAAATTTTAATAGCTAAATTAATAATACTTATTATAAATAAGTTATTTAAAAATATAAAGTAAAAAATTTCTAATTTTTAAAAGAAGTCTTTTTTTAGGGCTATATTATATTAATATAATAAAAATTAATTTAAGTTAACTATTTGAAAATAATATATTTATATTTTCTTATATAATTAATAATAATAAATTAAATATTAAAATATTTTCTTTTATTAATACTAAAATAAATAAATAAACTTTTACTAATTTTAAGTTTATAAAAATAATAATATAAAATAATTTCTAGATATTAAGCTTATTTAATTAAAGTTATTTTATAATATAAAAGAATTTAATAATAAATAAGTTATATTTATTATTTATTATATTAAACTTATATTTTTAATTAATAAATAAAGAATTTAGTATTTATATTAATTATAAAATTAAATGCATATATTATAATATTAAAATAATAATAATTTATAAATATTAGTATTTTAATTAATTATAAAACTAAAAGATTAATTTAGCTAAATAATTAGTTTAATAAAAAGAATTAAAATAAAATTCTAATTATTATTTATATGAATTAATATTAAGAAAATATAAATAAAAGAAATAAAGCTATAATTATAAAAAAGTTATAAAAGTCTTAAATTATAAAAAAAAAGTCCTTTAATTCTTTTTATAAATCTAGTTTAAAAGCTATATATAATAGAAAAATTAAACTTAATTTTATAAATAAATATAAAGGCTTTTTTAAATCGAAAATAGAAATATTAAAATTATATTATTTAAAAAAAAGTTAAAAGTATTTTATTAATTACTTTTTTATAATATTATTTTTCGAGATTAATAAAAAGCGAGAATTATAATAAAAAAACAAGTTTATTTTAAATAAGTAATAAGTAAAATAAAATAAAAATTATAATAGTTTATAAAGGTTTTATTAAAAAGATTTAAAAACTTTATAAATATTTTCTTATTAGCTTTATAATTATAAGATTTAAATTAATAATTCTAAAGGCCTAAAAAGTCTAAAATATTTTTTTCTTTAATAATAATTAATTTATAAATTATAAAAAATTAAATATTTCCTTAAAAAAACCTTTAATAAGATTTTATTAAATTAAATTAAATTTTATTTATATTTTTAATTCTCTTTATAAAAAAGACTAATAATGATTTATAATTTTATATTAATTATTATAAGCTAAATAATTTAATTTCTAAGAAATTTTTTTTTCTCTTATTTATAAAACTTTTATAGAATTAGATTAAGCTAAAATTTATATAAAGCTAAATATTTAATAAGTATTTTATTAAATTAAAATAAATCCGAAATTAAAAGAATTTATAATATAAAATATAAAATATAAAACTTATAAATATAGGGGTTTTTTTTTAAAAAAGACTTAATAAATAGCTTTATTATATATTAGAAATATATAAATAATTTTTTTTTAATTATTTTAATATTTTTCATATAGCTTATTTATATAATACTTTAATTTATTTAAATAATTCTTTTAAATATAAAAACTATATATAAAAGATTTTCTAATAATTATTAAATATTAGCCTTTAAATAAATATTAAAAAATTAAAGTTTAAAATTATTTATATAAAATATTTAGACTTTATTATTTTTATTAAAAGTATTAAAATGAATTTAAATAAAATAATAATTAAGAAAATATAAGATTTTCTAAACTTTTATAACTTTTATTAGTATTTTATTATAAGATATAGCTATATAATAAAGTCTTTAATAATTTTAATATATAAGAGAATTTTATATAAGTAAATAAATTAATATTAAAAAGCTTTTAATAAGCTAAAATAAATTATATTTTTATACTAATATTATATTATTATAATTCGAATCTTTTATAATAAAACTCTTAAATAAAGCTATAATACTTAATAATATATATTTTTTAAATTATATAATTAATAAAACTAAATTATAATATTTATAATAATAAAGAAGCTTTTAGTAAAATAAATTAAATAAATAAATAAATACCCTAAATATAAAATATAAGAATATAATTATTATAATAAAATAATAATAGTTTATTAAATTCAAATTCTCTTTTTATAATAAAATATTAATAATAATATTATATAAGATTTCTAATTAGTTTTAATTAAGGCCTTTATAAGTTTAGCTTAAAAAGAAATCTAATATAATAATATTTAGTTTATAAATAAGTTATAAAATGAGAACTAAAAATTATTAAAGCTAGAAAAGCTATAAAATAAAATAAAAAATAAAAACTAAATATTTAAATATTATAACATAGCCTTTTTTATAATATAATAATATTTAAAATATTTTTATATATTACTTTTATTTAAAAGATATATATATAGCTTCTAATAAAATATTTAAAATAAGCTAAGTTTTAATAGCTTTTTTAGATCTATTATTATTAGCTAGACTAGAATATAAATATTAATTAATATAAAAATAATTATTATATTTATTAATAATTTTATTATTAGAAATAAAAAGCTAGATTTTTATATTT